ATTTTTTTGGATAGTATCATTCAGTTGATTCTGCAACTTACTAGAACTCTTTCATCATATATGTTTTTGCAATATACTTTCTATTACAGATGCCCCAATGCTATTTCTACTTGGACAGTGGTAATTGATATGCCAAAGTTGACGTTCTTATCATAGCTTGATAAAGTTTGTTCTCTTTCCACAGGAATGAATTTTAATGATTTCTTCATCTTCATATCACGCTTTTCACTAGCCAATGTGGTGGAGCTGTATTATCTACGTGGTGAATCAAACTCTGAAAGTTCAATCTGGCATTGCTCTGCTATAGTAAAGCATGTTGCTCTGAACCTTGCATCGATAAGGAAAATAGCATTTAAGATGAAATCTGAAGGTGTGCAAGGAAATCTTGGCATCATAAGTTTGTGGCGATCTTAAGTTTCTTAAACTATGCACCAATTTAGGCAGAATATATTCATATGCCCCTGAGAAAGAGGACTGGAGCTGTACCGTGAAGAAAGTTCTGATGGCAGATTTTGGGAAATACGGATCTCAAGTTTGTAGTCCAGAAGATCTCGTTACATTTATAGACCACGCCGTTTCAAAACTTAGTAGCAATTGTAATGAACAAAACACTCTTCTGTCAGCATTATACTAAATCCAGCCTTGTCAGCAAAATTAGCATTCTGGCCTATATAATTTTGTTGTATTACCTAGAATCAAAATCGACACATTTCGTTGATATGCATATATATATTAGGGTTCTTTCTTTGGCCCTTTTCTTGAGCTCTCGAACATCTAAATGTGTGTAAAATGAGGAAGAAATTTCTGCTGTTATTTACTACGATTGAAAATTTGATATTTTAGCAGCAAACAAGAAGAGACAGATATCGCTTGCTAGTATTATTAACAGTTTGTATTTTCCCCTCCAAAATTTACATGTATATAGTCCCCAGCTGGTAGGGCAAATCAACGTTCCAGGGGACCAAAAATATACATTGATAGAGAGAGAAAATTTGGGGTAAAAAAGGACAAAAATAAAAATAAAGGGTTCAAAATTGAAACAGTCAAGGACATCGTACATTCCTTCCTGGACCTCCATAGTAAAAGTAGGTTCCCCAAACATCGTTTCTTCCTTGTCTGATGTCGTAACAATTTGAATGATCAGCCAACAGTCGAAGGTTTTTAAACGGGACCAAATTATTATCCCAATCAACAGTCTGCAAGTTCCTGAAATAAGCTGCTTTCCCGAAGCCTTCTCGAGCAAATCGGCCACTGCCCATTTGTGTTGATGTGTGAAATCCTAGGGATCTGGTGTTCACGATTTCTCCTCCGAATTGTACCATGTTTGCATGGCTTCTCAAGTGACTGAAAAGGAATGCAGCCCAGTATCCCACCAGTAATCCTGATCCAAATTCTAACCACCAATGTCCATGTTTTGGATCCTACAAAACACAAAACTGCTTTTAAATGTTGGATGTTGGATGTTGTATGATGATTCTGTTTAAGCCGATATCGTACTCACCTTCCAGACCATTAAGCCAATATCGAACTGCCTGCCATTGACAGTGGACCTTGGAGATATAGCTGCTCCAATAGCAATCTTGTTGCTGATCTGGACAAACCCAGAGCAAAGCAAGTTGTAGCATCCTGTGGTGTGGTAAGCATCATTCTGTAAATTAAAAAGTTAATTAGCAGTTGATTCACTTCTCTTTCGGTTTTAAATCTTGCTCTCGGACTTGGAAAAACAGGTAAATCGCTAGATATTATACTCACTGTCCAGTATATGAAGAACCTTGGGCGATTGTCTCCATATAGCTCAGGGTTAACCTGAAGAAACGTGAATATGGAAATCTTATCAGAAGCATATAGAAACTTCTCAATGAATAACTTCTGAATATTTTTGTACCGAAAGTTTAGGGACATGCCTGCCAACCAGCTTCAATGGTATTAAGATCATTGCGAAAAGAACCAGAGATGATCCATATCTGTGACAAGCTAAACTCGTATGCATTTGTCACGCGAGGCGCCCATACATTTATTATTGCTTTTGCTCCATAATACTGATCTCCATTCTCAAACACAACTGCATGCTGAAATGGAAAAATATGTTTTTCTGATACCAATCTCATTGTCAAGACCAACTGCCAGTTTTATTTCTGTCTTGAATTTGAAAAAGTAGACAAGTTTTTAGGTATCAAAGGTCGAAGGTACTAACCTCATGGCCGCTGCTCGTGGAGTCTCTCCGCACATGCCTTCTTCTTCTTCCATATCTTCTAACAGAACATGCTCTCAGAATGTCTTTCTCAGTTGTCCTTCTGATTGGAACAGTCCCTTTGGGACAGGATTCACCTGTGTCTGTCCAAAGCTGGAAGCTTTCAGAGCCTACTTCTGTAGAGTTATGACCTTTTGGCCTCGCCGGTGGATCCTGTCAGAACGAACCTTCCGTTAGTTTTTGTTTCATGCTTACCCAACCGAATGACTAAACCATATTATCTTGAAACTCAATGCATTGCTCATGTCCATTAAACAAGAAGAAATTTTTACCAATGGCTTCTTCCCTCTAAGCTCACGGTGATCAAATGCATGCTGAAGGTGAGATGGAACACAATCTATGACATCACCATCTGGACTCTGCAGCAACAAACCAAGAAACCAAAATCATATAATCATCAAGCCCACGAATCAAAGACTAACTGAAAGTTTCAAAGAAGATGCCTTAATGGTCTTCACAGCAGGCTTGTTTATCTTCTTGAGATAAGCGTCAACTCTCCTTAGCTTCTGACTGTATTTATCAGGGTTAAAAGTATGGTTCACCAGTTTCCGGCGGCCGGAATCCGGTGAAGACAGGACAGAGCCAAGAGAGGAAGAAACAACAAGGGGGAAAGCAACAAAAATGGGAATCATTGAAAAACTAGTATTGTGGAAAACGAAAGTAGTCATACAGTGCCAAGTATTTGGGCTGTTTGGTTTGATAGCAAGGATTCAGTTTGTATGCATCGGGTGCTGTCGTGTTGTGTTCACAACACAAATCCAAGAGTTTCTAAGAAAGTGCTTTTGGATTTTGAGATACAATACACACCAAGAAACTTGAAGCACCACCACCACCTCTTTGTCTTAATCATAGTTGGTCCTGTACTTTTGAATATTAGTATTGACTAGTACATAAGATTATGTCGTGTCGAGTAAATTATGATTTCAAAAATTAATTTCGTATGTATTTGTATAATCTTGAAAGTGAATGTTATTCCAGAATTCATTTACCGCACTAGGTATGAAGTAGGTAGTTGGATGATCTGATGAGGCACTTAATGAATGGTACTGGTAGTATCCTGACCTGGTATTTGCAGGCATCAACAAATTTCCTAGTCGAGAATTGCATCACAATATCTGCTCCTTAAAGCTTCAAGTTTGGTCCCCAAATACTCAAAACTAGGGAATTAGAGGGAAAGAATCATTGATACCTACATTAATTCCATTGTTTTCTTTTTTTCTTTTGATGAATGGCCACTTAATAGTTCCCACACACCTCCGCAACGACTTAAAGCTAACTATTGAGGAATATTGGGCCACTGCACAACTGGTCACCCTCAATTCAAAACATTTCCATGGCCATGGGGGTTAGGATTAAAAGGCTGCCAATCCCATGCATATATCTTTCCAAGCCATTACTATTACTATGCATCATGCATGCATGCAAAAAATGTAAACAGAAGCAGTGTAGCAGTGGGGGTCAAAATGAGGATTTTTTTTTTCCTTTTGGATTCTTTGTGCTAACATGTTGGTGTAATAATTCATGTGGGTGAATTACAGGGTGTACCACTATAATTTTTTGTGTTGGGATAATAAAACAACGCTACTAAAAACATTGATGAAGCCTAATTACTCAGGCAGTGATTAGGTTTGCATTTGCAGATGTCATATAATGTGCGATTTCCAACTTAAATACAGCCAACAGTATACTTCTAACCTCATACAATTCATTACTTGATTACTTTAAAAAAAGTTTATTCATCATATATAAATTTCATATATACATATATACATACATATATATATATATATATATATATATATATATATATATATATATATTTTTTCGAAAATATAATAGAATTGAGTGAGTGATAAAAATATTATTTTTTAGAAATGACAAGTCAATTATATTTATACTATCAAGTGATTAAAAAATTCTTAATAGATATTAATGTGTAATCTGCCTAAATTATTAAAGATGATGATATCACCACTACCACGTGATGTAATCTTATGGTGTTACACGAATTTAACGATCTTAGCGTAAAATATCAAACTACTTGTTGGAATAAAAATATATGCATCAAATTAGTAGGAAAAGAAAATCAAAGTACCAAATTTTAAGAAAATGATGAGTAAAAAGGTCATATATGTATTTAAACCATTAAAATGTATTATAAAGTATGTATGCATGCATACATACATAAATGGGTGAATATATAAGGATAAATGTATAAGTAGCATAAGAAAGTGGTGTTTTCAACTTTATTTAATGCTTTAAACACCAAATGACAATCCAGTAAAGTCCAAAAGATGGCAAAGTGTTGATTGGATCGATGGTGATGCATGCTTGCCAACCACGATCAAAATAATTTTCAATTTCTGAAAGCATGGCCCTTTAATCTTGAATCACACGATCCACATAGATGAAATGGAATCTTGACAAGACTTTACTCCTGTTGTTGGGTTGGGCATGCTTATTGAGTAGATAATTTTAAGTTAACCATCTTTGTTGTGGATCCAAAAGCACAAGACCACACGAACTCGATGGTGACTCGATGATTTGGGCTCAATAAACAACATAGGGACCTGGACTCCAGCGAGTTAACCCGTTTACATTTGAGGCAGGCTGCTGCAAGTGGAGTTAAGCCCCTCTTTTAGTCTGCAACTGACCCGAGACAACGAATTCGGGTGGCACATGGCCCTATTTGCTACTTTTGAAGATATAAAGGAAGATAAAAGAATAAAGCAAATTTCATTTTGTTGCTGTTTTGGGAGAAGGAGAGGATAGGAGCTGAATATATCACAACGTCTAAAGGTAAGTCTCCTCCTCCTCCTCCTCTTATCTGTTTTAGTTTAAATTTTTTCTAAAATTTTTCTATGAACTTAGGGATTTTGTTTCCCTGTAGACTTATTTGCTCAAATTAGCAAACCAAAATCAATAAAAGCAACAGGTTACGGGTTGAATTCGGCTTGTGTTTTTAATTTCTTTAAAAGAACTTTTGTGTAAAATATCTGCTGTTTGTTCTGTACTGTAAATTTTCACTCAATATATTTGATTGCTACAATTAGGACAAGGTGAATTTGGTTCCTGTAATGTTTCTTACTATGTCTGGTATTGTTCTATCTGGTACTCTGCAGGGTCCCCTTTTTTTTCTTGTTGGGATTTTTTCATATCATTGTTTGTAAGAGTTTCTTGCTTACGTATAGTTGAAAGCTTCTAATCTCTTTTGGTGCCGTGTTCATTTTGTTTCATTTCTTTAGGCCTTGTTTAATAAATGTTCAGGCGCTTGAGGTGAAAGTTGCAACTATGGTGTTGGTGACCCATCAATTGCAGGTATTCTAAGAAAACTTTTGAACAATAGTGTTAGACTAGGAATATATTAATTGGAGCTTTGATGTAAAGTTCTTTAGAAACAAGAGTTTGATGACTAGTTAAAAAATCCCCACCTTGCACCCAGGACAGTTAGGTCCATCTAAGTGCTGTTTGTTGAATCCTATGAGATGTAAAATTATGTTCCTGAAGCTCCTGTTCGTATTGCTTTGAGAACCCTTTTTTATCGAGGAAGTCTCATTTGACCTCATGTACAAATATAGTGAGTTCAGCTTTCTTTTGGTATTTATCTGAATGCAGAGTATGCTGCCCATTTTATTGCATTTTAGGGTTCATATGTAGTCTTGTCTTCCTTCAAGGATATTTTTTTTTTGTATTACAGGGTTCATATGTAGCATTTCGTTCAAGGCCTTTATCATGTAGGAAAGGATTGACATTACGGAGACCTGTAGCTACTCTTCATATGCTTGGGAGAAGGGAGAAGGGCATATCAGTAAGGCACTCCACTTGTTTTTGGTAAGTAACATTTCCCTCGTGATTAAGCAACAAACTCCGTGCTGGTATCTTGTCTCTTAATATGATGGTTGGTTTGATTAATTTGCATGGTGTATGTGGAAGTGGTGATCTGAAAGGACCAGGAATACGCTTTTAATTTAGCATGTTGAGTTTATCTCTCTAAGAAAGATCCAAAATGTTTGTTCTTACCACGTTTTTCCTTTCCCCAATTTTACCATTTCTCTTAAATAGAAATTTAGAAGTGAAGTTACAAGTTAGTAAAAGAAGGTAGGGATCAACAGAATACAAACGAGTGTTTGTAAAGAAAATAGGCTATGAGTCATCTCTGAACTGAAATAAAATTTAGGCCTTTTCTTTTTTCTATCTTTTTGCAAGAAAAAGAAGTGAAGGAACAAGTTAACGAAAGAAGTGGTAAATTAAGTTTAAGTACGTTGAAAATGCAGCATAGTAATTACATGTACACTTGGTGCATGAAATTTCATTGAGAAGTTTGTGTGATGTGGTGTGAGGTTGTAAATGAAAAGTTGTTTATTACTTGTGATTACTGGGTGTTAATGGTGTCAAACATTTCCTGATTGGTGCAGTGATGCTATCTTTAACTCTGTAATAAATACAGGTCTATGCAAATCATATATTTTTGTTTTTGATGTGTTCTTTCTTCTTGGATGAGCAATTCTTGCCTCAGAATTCTTGTTTGTTTTCCTTTACACGTGAGGATGACAAGAACACTTTTGCATGGCTTGAAAACAGTAGTAGGCGCACTGGGTGCCATTCTACTATTCTAAATTAATATTTTTTTTTTGTAAAACCAAATTAATTTGTTCTCAGCTAACATTCTTCTGCATTCATTGTTCCGGTGGAAAAGGGATGAAGTGAACTCAATTTCTTTTCTACTTTCCACAATTATTTTTCTCATGTTATTTTTTGCATTTCTATTTTCCGTTCATTTTCTTCATATTCATTTTTCATTGTATGCATCTGGAGCATTTAAATTCTGACAGGCTTATTTTTGCAGTATAGGGGCTCAGTCTCACGGATTGAATGCCAGTAATATAAGGATTTCAGCTTTCAAAGGCGGTGTCCAGAGTGATGAATCAGGACGCAGAGAAAACGAAGGGAATGTTTCAAAGAGTTCTATTAAAGTTTCTTATGCTCCAAAAGATGGTGAAGGGGCCACGATAGAATCTTCCAAGGCTCATAACAGTCCAGTTGCCTATGCCTCGGAAACTGTTGAGAACGTTGTGGGATCCCCTGCTATTCAGAAATTATTCAAGAAATGGATAATGATGCTGCAATCACATTCCCCAAGTCAAGTGGTGGATGATGCTTTGGAAGAAGAAGCACCTCCTAGGGATGCATCAGAAACTCAATTTGGCACCCAAAGTAATGGAAAAAGCGAGAATCTAAAGATGGTTTGGTGTTATTTCTGGAATTTGAATGCAACAATCAAAATACCCTTATTAATATTGTAAGTATGATTAACTTGTTCTCTCTTTCTGCTCCCCTCCCTGGAATTATTTTCTAGCAGCGTGCATGATTTGTTACTGTGTGGCATTATGTTGTGATATCAAATGGCTGTGTGTCTACCGTAAAGAGCAAAATGTGACAACCATAAAGCTCTCGCCTTGATTTATAAGGACTTCTGGTGTACCTCTGATAAACCGTTTCCAAGTTAACTGGTTCTGGTTTTGTTCTACATACATCACTAACAGTTGCTCTGCCACATGTGCAGTGTTCCATGGTACCTCGGTGTCAATTTGATATACGGGGCTGAAGTTTCGAAGGACTTGACTCCTCTATGGGTGTTTGGGCCCCTGATCGTTGCTCTTTACATCAAGATGCTCAGAGGCTTGTGCGCGCTTTATGTTTTCAGCTTCAAGAAGACAGTTCAGATAATTAAGAACCTACCTACCTACTACCTCCTTGCTTACAATTATATCGCACGTGGAAAGCTGAAGGAAGACATACGAGCTCGCTTGTGGCAACCTGTGGAAGACATGAAGAACATGGACTACAAAGAGGTATGGAGGAAAAAGGCAAAAGATTTTCAAGAGTGGTTGACGGAGAAGTACCTGGACTATGTGGAATCCATATGGCCATACTACTGCAGAACCATCAGGTTCCTAAAGAGGGCTAATCTCATTTAGGTTTAGAGTTCTTTTGATCCGAGTGAAGTGTTAGGCGAGGTATTGATTCTGTGGGTTTAGAGTTTGAAATTGATTGCAAGGTTGAAAATTTTGGACCAAAGGCAGCAGAGTGCAAACCACATTTTTTTGGATTTAAAAGAAAAAAAGGTTTCAAACCCGAGTTCTTGCTAGATTCATTCACGCTCAAAACTTTTTTTATCGTCCTTTTTATTTTTAATTATTCTTTTACCTTTCTTCTGTATGCAAGTACTGGAAGATTTGTTTATGCCATTTGCGATGCCACTTTGATGGTCCATTCATTCCTAGTAACCAATATCTTCGATAAGGAAAGCTGTTACTGTCAACATCTCTGTGTTAATGTTAAGGTAGTCTTCATAGTTTATCTAACCATACAATAAAATAGCTATAATAAAGTCGACCTAAAAACATAAATATGCACATACTTCCAATCAAAATTGTGATTGATTACTTGAACCGTCATAACAATTGATTATTGGTACCGTTGACAGATGAACAATGGTATATAACCTGTCAACGTTTATGTGGAAGATGGGTAAACAAACTGTTCAAATTGACCAGGGGAGAAGTTGAGATTACAGGCATCGCAGTAAAACATGTCGGCATCCAGAACATATATGTACACATATTGTTTGTTTAATTTAACGAGGGAGAAGTTTAGATTACAGGCATTGCAGTAAAACATGTCGGCATCCAGAACATACATATATGTACACATATATCTTCAACTAGATGCTTGACATGAAAAATCTAGGATACATGATTCTTTCACACACAAACGGACCCCCATGATGCTAAGGCCATTCCAACTCTGTAGCTATAAACACATCGGACCACAGATGTTAAAACTGCCATTGATCGGTCTGCTTCCCCGGCGTCCACGTGCCACCTGGAGGTAGCTAATGTACAGAATGGTATATTACAAACAGGACAAAATTACCTAAAATATATGTAAACCAGCACCTGAAGTGATTATTTGTCATCCTCTAACCAACAAAGGCGCTGGCAACTATGAGCAAACTCGGGCTTTTTGTGCTCTCTCCCACTCCTCGGGCACCAACATATCTCTTTCCGTTAAGCATCTTTTGTATGGCAAAAACCCCTTGCTACTCTTTTGGAGGGTCATTTTTCCCTCTGGAGAAAGATTTTGGCACTGAGAATCAACAGAATCTGAATTCTTCTCCCTATTTTCTGTTTGACTAACTGAGCCAGTATTTGAACACGTGGAAGATCTTTCATTCAGAGTTTCCTTTTCTTTCATCCTCTCTTTGACACAAGAGTCTTTACGGGTTTGATTAAATGAAGTAACGTAATATAAGGGTAGACCTTGGTAAAGAGCCCACCATGGCACAGGAGCATTACCGGTGTATTCTACATGGTCTTTTTTATCTGAGTGGATTTCAATACAAGGTGATAAACTGAATTTGGAAGGTACCATTCTCCAATTATCGATGACTGTCCCGTTTGACAAATGCAAGTCCAAGCATGTCGATGGTAATGCCTGAACAAGACTCTCACTGTCTGCATCATTTCCCACTACACTGTTCTTAGATGTGGAAGGTTTACCAGAACATTTCACCTCAACTGTTTTCCCAAAAAGCTTAATACTAGTGAAAGTCACCACATCTACTGTGTCTGCACTTCCTTTGGCACAAACAGGTTCCTCAAATTTTGCATTGGATTTCTGGGTAATTATATGAAGATGGTTGAAGATCAGTTTCTAAATTCTGGACAAAGGTCAGTAATCGTTGTTTCATATAATGAAGGGCAGAAATTTTACCAAAGATAAAATATTCTCCTCAGTTGAATGTCCTGATACTTTAACAGATGATAAAGATTCGTTCTCTTTCTCTGTAGATGTCACATAGTCATTTTCTTTTCCAACAGGGGATGTATTGAGCGACTGTATATTTGTAGTAGTACAAGATGTTGGGGAAGAGCATCTATTTGGTTGGTCCGAGGCAGAAGACCCCATTGTATCGAAAACAAATGCGGACAGAACTGATGAGGGTGACTCGTTATCCTGTTCTGAAACAAAGTGATTGGGGGATGGAGACCTCTCTGGTTGAGATGATGGAGATATTCCTTTGAGCGAAACAACAGATTTTCGGGGATATGGATGCATTGGCTTCCTTTTTGGACGAGGTGGTGGTATCTCAATTGGTTTAGTGGAACTCTCAAAGCCATCATTGGATTCACGAGCAGCCTAGAACCCCAATCGCAAAAGTATGAGATGCAAGTTACAAAAACCTATCTAAAAATGTCTACACATGGCATGTTCACAAAAGATACAATCATTTTTCAATCAAGAAAATCTTGCAATGAACTTAAACCTTAGAGAAAAACTTTTGAGCATGACTTCGAATTTGAACAGCAGTTTTCGTGCCTACATGCTCTGCATGAAAATAAGTGTAACTTGATCTGCTCACACCATAATTGGAAAAGGAATGAATTTGATAATCTCCACTGTGCACTTACCTTCTATTTGGCGCCAGCCACGACCATACAAACTTAAAGCTTCAAGAAACTTCTGATGCTCTTCCTCTGTCCATTTTTCCCTTTGTTTAGTTATAGTATAGGGCTTCCGAACCTATTTTACAGGAAAATTTGAGCATAGCAAGAAAAGATTAAAAATTACTCATCGGGGTCTGTTATAAATAGAAAGGTAAGTAAAGTTAGGCAACACGAAGAACAGAACCTTGGGTGTTTGGTCATGCTTAAATGAGTAAAGCACCTGCAGTTGGGTCAATGACTCAGATTGTTGGTTGCCAATGGAACAGCATATACCGGATTTAAGAGCATTAGGAGATATTCTGCCTTCAATTTGATCCTATATAAAATTTGCAACAGCATTTTAACAATTAGGAAACGTTCTTCACAATATATGGATTATTATATAAGAACTTTCCATTCTAAAAACAAACCTAACGACGCTACTAATCCTTCCCATTAAAGCAGATTCAGGACCGCACATACTTTAGCACATTAGAACATAAGACTTGGAATAACCAAAATGAAGATAATACGAAAGAAGAAGCATGCAATTTCATAAATTGCAGTAATCCATAAAAGTAACATTTTCCAAGGTCCAGCAAATATAGCAATAACAATAAAGAAACAGCAAATCTGCATCGGAGCATTTGACTCAAATTATGCGGAGTACACACTGAAAATTGACAGCTTACGTCATAGTTTCTTCTTCTTCTTTTTATATCTAACCTTCTAAATGAATAAAGTACAATGCATAACAACAATCCAAGCACAAGCATACAAATATAGAAACTGCATGTACCTCAGTAGCCATCGGGATCTACGGATTTTTGCTTCAATTCTTACGGAGCCTAGATTACTCCTGCAACTTCACCTAAACCAAAATCACCCTCAGTATATCTATATATTTTTTGTATACACGTAATTTAATTATCAGAACTAATTCAAAACCCAGATAAGACTTTCTTCTTTCAGATTAAAAATAAATTACTAAAAACTCCTCTCTCCGGTATGAACAGTGAGTCGAAACATTATTAAATGAAAAAAATAGTAATATAATCCAAAAAACAAAGCAGATCGGCCACGAACTTACCAGTCAAAACGAGAAATCTTGAAAACAGAGATCAAGCAACCAGAGGAAGGATTCGATGATAATTGTTAAAAATTAGCAGGAAATTCAAACAGTCTACTGCACTGATAAGCTGCCGAAGAAGCAATTCTTTCGGAAAACAAAAGAAAATACAAACAGAAGATGAAGCAAGAAGAATCGAAATTAGATTTGGAAGAAGTCGGAAGGTATTTTGAAAAATAGTAAAGCTACATATAAAAACTATAATCATGTTATAAAAAGCGAAGGGAAGGACGCCACGTCAGATTCAATTTCTTAATTTATTTTATTTTTATTTTCCAAGGAAAACTCCAGAAGGGCTTGGAGTCTTGCGGCCGAGAACGCCCACGCGTCGTCTTTCGACATCTGCTCTTTCTTTTATTTCAAAGATTTTTCTTCTCCTTTTATTTTGCGGAAGATTTCGAACCCTGGATGGATAATTGATGAGTGTTCCCGGTGCCAGATATTTTTCGACTTTTTAATCCCACGCGCACTTCGCTTCACTCTCCCAAAGTTTCGTATCCACTCCACTAGTGAGGGAGCGTGGTTCGCATTTTCTCCGAAAACAGGTGGAAAGTGAAATAAAATAATTAAAAAGGATAAAAAGGAAGGAAAATATCGAGAAATATCTCTAAAAAAATATTATATATTAGACACAGAAAGACGGCTGGCCCTAGTGCGTGCTGGTGGTGGGGACCACCACACCTCTTCTGCGCTTTTCAGCCACATCAGCTCTTCTGTACCGGAAACGCCACGCGTACCAACCACAGCCAATATTGTCCATGTAAATTTCTTTTTTTATTTTTAATATGTTTGTAATATTATAGAAAGTCGCATCTGAACTTTTTTTTTTTTGGTTGGGGGAATAAGGTTCTGAATAGAGCCGGATATACGGGTTACCGTCCGTTTAGTAGGCGAGTTTTGACGGTGTATGTTTAAATGAAGTGGTTTAAAATATTCTCAATCATAAACGGTTTTGAATTTTAAGGTCTGCGGCTCATTCATTTAACTCGCGGGTTAAACGGGTTTACTCGTGACCCGTTAAAATAGGTAAATTTTTAAAATTATATCAATCCCAAAAGCATCGAAATCGATAATTATAATGTAATAGGTAAATTTACAATATAACCAGTAGAAATATATTGGTTAATTAGAAAATATATCAACATAATGTATCAATACATTTTTAAATTGTGTCGATACTTTTTGTCCAGAATGAATGTCAAACGAGGTGCACACATAAAGTTTCAATACATTTATTAAAAGTATCGATCCCAAAAACACCGAAACCGATAATTTTAATGTAATAGGTAAATTTACAATGTAACCGTTATAAATATATCAGTTAATTAGAAAATAGATCAACATAATATATCGACACTTTTTAAATTATGTCGATATTTTTTATCCATGATAAATGTCAAACGAGGTACCATGGATTCGCTTTAGTTACTGATCTATACCCTTAATCCTTTTACAACTGTAATTTATATTTTTACAAACAGAAAACAGTTTTAACCAGATTTCAAATAGTTGTATTGTGTGTAGATTACTGGGAGCAAAAGAATAATTGGGGATTAATTCACACACACATTCATAATTTTCTCTCTACTTTTATTTAGAATTACACGGTTTGATGCTATTGGTTTCTTTAAAGAACCAAATCATATCTGAATTTTAAAGATTTGGATAAATATCTCCACTATTTTGATCTATTAACAACCAATAATTAAACTTAATCATGCACAACATGAATAAAAAATGTGAATTGTAAAACATAAAATAAATTAAAAAATAATAATTAAATTAAACGGGCTACCTGTTGATATACCCATTAAATCAACGAATTTAACGGTCCGAGTTAAAAAACCCGTAATTTAAACGAGCTTTAATTTTTTAAAATTAATCCTTTAGTTTTGTATTCAATAATCTAACTATTCAAAGTCAAACTGATAAATCTAAGGGTAAACTATGGAGATAGTCCTCTATATTTTTGATATGACCGACTTTGTTCACCAATTTATAAATTAAGAGAGAATGATCCCTAACGTTATCGATTCGTTCAATTTTAGTCCCTCAGCCGTTAACTCCCATTCGATTTTAGTTCATCAAACTATGGGATTAATAAAAATTAATAGTAAATCGAACTGATCGATAACGTTAGAGACCACTTTCCTTTAACTTTTAAATTGATTATCAAAATCGATAAGACCTAAACATAGGAGACTATCTACATAGTTTATCCTTAGATTTAATTACAGTGTTGCTCTTACAACATCTTAAAGAGCGTAAGTTCAAGCGTGTGTTAAGATCGTAACGGTCTCTGTTACAGGGGTTTAGAAGGAAGACAGACAATCTAAGTATTGTATAAAATAATTAAAGGATCAAACTTTAAAAATTGAAAGAGAAGGGGAATAGACGTTTAAAAGTTTGAAGAGTGTAGATTGGTTGAGCGGCGATGAGCAGCAGCTTGTGGTGAAGTATCACTGTGGGGAGGCGCCAATTTAATATCAGCCTCTCGTTTGTTGAATGTGTTTTATTTTGTATTCCCCCTGTTACGAGGATAATATTACTGATTTATTTTATTATATTTCTCTTTGGGAGGATAATACTAAACGTCTTCTACTCTCATCCTCCTTCAACACTCTAGAGGATGTTGTTGGACCGTTCAAAATATGGGGATTAATTTAAAAAGAAAATAATAGTTTGGAAATAAATTTAGAATATTCAAAAGTTTAGGGATCAATTTAGATTAAGAGACATAATTTAAAGATGAAATTAAAATATTCAAAAGTTTAAGGATTTGAAAAACATATGATGCAATTAACTCAAGACTTTTATGTTCATTAAAAACTCCTCTTAAAGTCACCTTTTGCTTTAGATTTTAGGATCAAAGGATTGAATTTTAATATTATAAATAAAAAAAATGAAACTCAATATAAATAATCAATCAAGAAATGATTTGATTTCAAGTAAAATAAAAAATATTACACATCCTATAAAATAGTTCCATTTTCATACCTATTATTAGATATATATTTTAGAGTAAAAAGTAAATATTGTGAGCACATCCACCGGATATGCAGCAAGTGTCGCGTACAGGGTCTTGTTCCTCTCTCTCTAAATATATATACGTGAATTAATATTATTATACTAAAAAGAAGATAAATATAGAATTTGAGTTTAATATTATTTTATTTCAATCTAACACAAAAATAATTTATTAGTCCGTGCTTGTTAGGATTCATATGCCTCACGCTCACGCTCACGCCCACGCCAGAGCATGTTTCATAAAAAAAGACCCTGCCTTTTCCACCGGATTGTATAACCTGTTTTACCCTGTTGGTTTCGAAGAATTCACATTAATTAATCCAATTCATCCTGATCGTACATCTAATTTTGATCCTCCTAACAAAAATATTATGTATTCATTAGGATATAAACTGATTAAACAGAATTAAATTGTTGGTGAGTTGAACCAATCTCGTTTGTTTGTGATTGTATAACCTTTTACTAATGAAATAAAATAATGGGAAAAACTGAGAGCCACAAGTTGTGTGGTACTGGTCAAATCAACACCACCACGTCGCCCCTTGTTCCTTTTACTTATTCAACCTACCTGTACCTGTTTTTAATTCACTTTTCCAAGCAATCAATGCGTATGAGCTTTGAAATCTACGATTAGTTAACATTAATAAATTAGTCTTCTTGACGATCCCGATCAATTTCTTTTTCTTTTTCTTTTGTCATGAACTTTAATTGCCGGATCTACGGGAGAGATAGGATCCTTTCCTAAATTTGGCATCATTATATTTGTTTTCCAAACACGATTGATTCTTTTAAGTTATAAAATCTGAATTAGATTTAGATATGGTGGCTGTCTAATCACCCCTTACTTTTGGCCTAATTATCATTGAAGAATAGGAACGTGAGTTTAATCGAGTCGAATTTATAAAATTATAATTCAAAGTTATTATGAGTTTAAATTTTCAGAATCGAATTTTCTTACCAAATTTTACCCACTCCTAATAAAAAAAAAAAAGGCTTAAATCAAATCCTGATTGCAGCACGTGATTCATCGCCATTGCCCCCCGACTTCCCGGTGCTTTTGCCACGTAATTCCATTGCCCTAGTACACAACCTTTGGCTTTCTTTATCCTTTTGTTTTTGTGGCTCTTGTTTTCTCCTCCACTCATTTCCAACTTGCTTTGCCATTGGCTCATACCTCCGCCAAACTTCCTTTTTTTTGAAACATCAAATGTTTTTATCGTTATTCAAAAAAATATCAAATATATTTTTTAAATATAAAATAAGCAGTAAATAATTATATAATAAAAAAATATTTTCAACTTAGCTTTTCTTATAGTATAAACATGAATATTAAATAATTAAAAAAAAATGGGCAGAACACAAATCCTTTTCTGCAATGTAAGCTTGAAGCCATCTTACAGCATACTTATGAGGGAGAAAGGAAAGGACATTGTGATAAAAGGAAAGCTAGAAGCCAATTGGACCTTTGCCACACACAACAATTCATGAAATCCACCAACCTTTTTACCCGTTCCTTGTACCATTTTGATACAGAAAAAAACATCAGTCAACTATCTTTTATCAGGCTGCACCTCATTAATGCCATCGAGGCTCAACCGTAGAATCTCATTCCACGAGGGATCCACCGGAGGCAATTGATATTCGTCAGGTTTCAGTGCTAACGGAAAATCCGGTAAAGTAGGAGCCGTCCCCATGATTCTGAATAACATTACCAACAATGCCCAGGTTATCATATCTTCGTCGACTACCAATTTTGGAAATAGAAACCATGCACTTACTGTTCATGAGAGTAGAGGTCTCGGTTTATCCGGACCTTGCTAGAAGTATCTTTCGGAATTTTCTCGGATAGATACTTCATTGTCCCCCAAAGTGGTGGATTTCTGTACCAATCAAGAATCACTAGCTTGTAACCACATTGCTGAACAAAACCAAGTCCAAACAGAGAAAGCATGCAAATGAAATCATCTTGGCAAGGAGATAATAGTTTGCCACCATATAAAGTACCTGGACAAAGGATGAGCCGCATTAAATACTTCACAAGCCCTCTTACTTTCTTCAAAATATTTATCGGCAGCCTGCAGAGCGGCTACAGCCATACCATGGGATTTCTCTGTGTTTCCCTCATCAAGGATCAAACCATGATAATAATATGCTACAGCCTGCATTTGTATAAATCAATAAACAGATATAATAACTACTACTGTTAGCTGATAAATGCACCTTCAAGATAGCCATCACTGCCATCTCCATTCGTTGGTGGTAAAAGAAACCATGCTTGGTGCACTAATCTTAACAAGTTAATTTAGGACAGCAAGGTTGGCTCAAATCTAAAAGGAGTTCCAAATAAAAAAAGAACTATCTAGTCCATCAATTCGCCCATAATTAGCTAATATCATCATACACACCCAACAGTAGTAATTACTGCAACATCAAACAGTTCTAGGCACCATGTCTAACATCGTGTCATGCACTGACAGTAAAAGGCTAATAGTTATCCATATGTTTGGTCAGACTCAGGTGCAGTGTGTTTGAATACGATCCAAGTGTTCAACATGAAATTTATTAACGCAGCTATAGTTATCCGACAAGAGAATAAGAGTTCAGAAAGCATCATCCCTATCAGGGTGTTATGATTTCTACGAAAACTATCAGTTGTGTGACTGTTTATACAAACTAAAACATGATATAAACTTTTTTGAGTCTTGAGGAAAAAAAGCAAAAATAAAAACATGGTTCGTTGTCATTTTTTCATGATCATTTGTAAAAAAAAAATGGCATTATAAGATTTTTTTGTTTCCTTCTTCCCACTTATATAATTATTATTTTTCAGGGATGGAATCATAATACTAAAGGAAACCAGCCAAAAGAATAAATAAATTGGTGCCGTTGAGAATATGAAGAGTGGAGTCAATTTGCAACTGAATTTATACGCCATTGGTATTTCTATAGCCCCGGCCAACTATACAGAGTCCAGAGTCCGGACACAAATCTCAAACACAATACATTTTGGCACTGGTATGCTATAAGAAAAATGCCATATAGAGTTAATCCAAATTCTACCAATACAAATGCTGCATTCAGTATATATTGTTATTTGCTTCTTCAAAAATGCTACCGAAATCTAATATTTAAATTCAAGAATGCACCAAGGAGAATAACCACATATGATGTAACCATGCTTTTGTCCTAAAACCTAAAAAGGAAAATAGAGGAATGAAACAAAGGATATGATATACCTTGGCTTCAACATATTTCCACTTTACAAAAAGTCTATGCTTTTCACCCCATCCATTTGATAATGGAAGATTCATAATGTTATCCTGAGCCTGTTAAAACAGGGAAATAAATATAAATATATATTTTCAGATCAGTAACTACAATTTTATTCAGCAAATAGATGATAAATTGAGAGATTAATGATTTATGAAATACTTAAGTGAAGAAAGAAGACAACCATAATATCAATAACACAGTAAGTATTAAGAAACACTGTTATCAGATTATAAGAAAAATGTCATAACAAATCCCAATAGGTGCCGAAAGTTGCGAACTTGATGAAAATCAGGGCACCATTAATCTCATTCATACTACATTTACAATAGAGTATCACCAATTTAACACATGTCCAACACAAAAACTGAACAATTATATATGCAAATAAAATGAACAAAAAAATCTGATAAAAATAAGCAGTATAATTGAAATGAAGACATTGATGCAGCAGGCTGACCATAGTTCAAAAAACAATGAAACATAAAGTGCATTGATACCTGCTGCCAGTATTTTACCATCTCGCATGCAAGCCTTCGCTTCACAGCAAGTGTAGCCTTGATGCTATCAATTGCCATTCCAAGCTGGATTTCAACACCCTACAAAAGAAACATAATATATAATATAAAAAAAACCTAAACCATGAGGGGACAAAATAAAGGCGGCATGATGCCTGTTCCAATTTGTTTTTTGTCACACACATAAAAAGAAAGAAAAGTGCACATGACCAACACTTGATCCCTCTACTAATGGATTATTTAACGGTACTCTTCGTTACACCACATTTGTAATGAGCGGCAATACATATACAGCGACATTCAGGGGAGCAACCTAACAGTCTTTCCATCAATCCAGAGGTGGAGTTAGTACCTGCCCTAATGCTTGCAAACAAAGTGCTCGAAGAACTCCTTCTGCTAGGTCTACCGGTAAATTTCTCCTACAAGAAAAGCGGACATCAGTAGATTATTACAAGATCTGGAAACTGACAAAATTATTGTGAAGATACCAAAGAAAGTTGACAGCCCGTATTTCATCTTTATATACCGTAGCTCAGATGGTAACTGAGGAAGAACCTGCCTGACAGCACAATCCAGGTATCCAGCTGCCTTCAAGAAAATATCAATAGAAGCTCGTCTCCTTTCTGTTTATTGAGAGAAAATTGAAGTCATCAGGCACATGGAAATAGATGTTAAAGCAAGGTCAGAATGAAAATCTAAAGTGTTGAAAGGATCAACATATTTTCCGCTAATAAGCATTTTAAACTTTAAAAACCAAGTGGGAAAAAGAAAAAACAAAATAAAAAGCATCCGGAAAGAACAATCAACAATGGAATTTTCCATTTTTCCCTTCATAACCACTTACCTTCTGATACTTTTGGTTGATGACTATCAGAAGTCCTTGGAAGAAGCAGTAAGTTGGCTTGTGATAATGATAACATTGCCATCAGATGCAATACTGACAACACTTCATACCAAGCATTAAACATGGCTGTTTCCTGCTCCCCCACCCCCAAAAAATGAATTACATAAAATATGTATTCCTCAAAAAGTAGGACCAAATAAAACACCAAACACTAGGAAAAGGCTACACCCCAGAGTCATACCTCAGCATCATCCTCCTGATTAACCCAAATAAACTGTACTTTGAATTGTAGCTGGCTTCCTGACCATAAAAATGAACCATATTGTTACAACTTGCCTTATACTACACTAAACATTGTAAAGAACATGACATTAACAACATATTTTACCATCTGAAACTAATCCCAGAAGGACAGGCAAATAATCTTCTAGAGCTTGATGAAGATCTGCCAATGCCGAACCCCCTGCATACAGTATTTTCAACCGAAATATCAGTAAAAGTGTTTACTAGATACCATTTTCAAGGAAACCAGGTTTGGATGCAGAAAACCATGCTGTGTAGAAGTTTTCCTCCTTGTTCTTGTAATTGTAGGTGCTTCTTGCCCAACCATAACAACTATTCGAGTTCTCAACGTGTTAAGGCGCTCCACTAACGTCTTTGACAAGTGACCACTGAGTGGTTGAGAGAAATCAACAGGTTTGGGAGTTCGTAAACCTGGGACATACACAGAAACGTCCCCAATATTTGTTGGCCTCCTCCTATTTCCCCCAGAATCTTTTGGTTTTGAAACCATACATCCCATATCTTGATAGTTACTGTATCTGCCAGTCTTGGCAAAAAATAGTCAGACTCTCCAGTAAAGTGACCTTATTTCTAGCATGAAAGAAGAGAATACTAAAGCATGTATCCAATATAAGCCCATTGATGATAAAGCAAACGGAAAAATGGGGAAGGAACAGATAACATTATTGCAATAGAAGCTAATGAGAGTATGTAATTTGCAAGCCATGGAGAGCACAACTCATTAATTGTCCAACCAACAAAGCAGAACAAGTAGGCAATTCACGAGCTCCACCAAAGGACTCCAACTAGAACTCTCCAAAATATATTTTAATCATTTTAAATGGAAAAATAAAATACAATGATCGGCTTACTCACCTTGTATCCCGGATCAGAAGAAGATGATCAGATGAGTCAAAACGCTAGTAGCTTCTGCATCCAACAAAAGTAAAAAAAGCTTAGGATTGTTCCTTTAAAGGAAGGAGGGAGAATGAGTACAGAGAAGAAACCAATAAAGCAAATGAATCACAAGAAAATCATGAAACTTGACAATTGTCAATAAAAAGTACTCAAGTAGGTGATAGACTTTTTCATTCTAAGAAAAAATTCAGATGCTTTTATTGCTTTTGCATGCGAAATTCAAAAGAACAATGTGAAACTGAAGAATTGTGAATTCAACTCACAAGCAGCATCGATAATAACAATCATAACAAGAGACCATTTCAATTATATTTGAATTTACTAAAAAGGATTGCGGATCAACATAGTATCTCTGAAATTCGGACGAAAGCAGAAAATCAATCATCGAAGAGAAGTGAAAGCTATAGGTTCAGCAATCTAGAAGGTTGAAAAAAGTTCTGGACGAGCATACATATATAAATAATAATAATTAACAACCTGGCTCTCCCACCATGGGTTTAAGTTGAGAGTCAAAGTCCAATGTTCAAACGCTAGCGGTAGCAGTAAATGCTTATTATGAGTTTGGGTAAGGAATTCTCAAACGATTGCGAGGAAATGTCAGATAATATGTAATGGGGATGGGAACTGAAAAGTGGGGGGGGGGGTGAGACTATAAGAGAAGGGTAAGCTCGCGGCTCCTAGTTGGGTTATTTTTCTAATTTAAATGTTTGAATTATTTCTAAGAGTCACACCATTATGGTTATTATACTTATTTCATAGACGGTAAAAAATGTTTCATAAACGAAATAATTATTATATTATAAATTTAAATTTAAATATATTCAAACTTGCGAGGTTTAAAATATATTGGTTCAAGTGAAAAACAATTTGATTCCTCTTAAACAGTTCTCGAGTTTGAGTCAATGTAAAAAATTTCTGTTGGAGACTCACTCACTAAAGTCAAGTGTGCGATCTCGGTCGGTCCGGATTCAAGGAGAAGCCGAAACGGTAGGGCAACAAAAAAATTATAATATTAATAGTACCAATCAAATTAAGATTGATCAATTAAAAATAAATTTTTTGACAGAATTTTTTTGAGTTTCAATCATTCCAAAGCTTGAATCATTTTAATATTTCATATTCAAATTGAATGATTCGCGTGAGTTTAAAAACATTCATAAAAGAAGTACCACATGTAATATAATGTAAAAATTAAATTCTGTTTGACATGTAGAGTTTGTAGACAACCTTGTGTGCGCTATAGAACTATGAAAGCACCCTTTCAAGTCTCCGCGCAGGCCAGGCCACAAGTGGGCAAGTGGTTTGTGCATTTTGGCAGTGACGCAACATAAGAATACACTTTAGCAAGGATTGAACCACCAGCTAGAAACCCAACATCCTCCACTATACTCATTTCTCGGTACACTTTCTTGCATCGTGTTAACAAACCTTGATTGCAAATATGTAAGTTCGACCTATTTAACTGATTGCAATAGAAGCGGGGAACAAGCAACTGTTGCTCAATCACTATCTCAAACTCCGACTTGTATTGAAGTCTTTCAAATATTGGATAAACGGATATGTATCAACTTTGAAACCTAACACAACTTCAAGTACCACAAGTTTATGTCTGAACTCCTCTAGGACATGGCACTATCATGCCTGAGTGTGAACTTGGTCTAGGCAATTTGACCCACCCTAAAGTTGGGGAAGCATATATGTAATCAAACAAGACATCTCTTTGTGAATCGAAGTGTGTAAGCGTGTTATGTTTGTCCTAAATTAATTTATAAAACCTAGCAACCCAAGGTGCGAGTTGAGTGTTACTTGGGGTTCTCGGATTGACGGCATAATAATCAGACCAATAGCAAGGCATAACTTCGGCAGCAAATCCCCCATCCGAGTAAATGCAAAATGCAACCAAGTCTCACCCCCATTCATCCTTCTTTTCCTCTCTCTATGGTATGCCAACGGTGCCTGTACATATCTGCATAAATGATTTTCCATATTCAAATCAAAACTTTAGTAATATATTAATCCTCATTTGCAAGTTACAGTTCACCTACAAGCTACAGAAGAGGAAGAAAGATACAAATGAAAATGACTAATGTTGACGAAAACGGGTAAAGAAAACAAAAGAACACGAGAATTTTACGAGGTTCGGCAATGTGCTTACGTCCTCGGTGCCTAGGCGGCGCTAGAAGTTTTTATTCAATGATATTTTAGGTCTAGGTTACATCTCTATTTATAATAGAAAACCCTGGTACATAATTACAAAATCAACCATGTACCGTACCGCGGGGGCTACGCCCCCACACCCGCAACCCACATAATTCGTAACCCCACAACGAGACTTTCTTTGTAAGGACAGTTGATGTTCGCTGCGTTCGCTTCGCTCACTCCGCTCCATCTCCTGTCCTCTTTACTGGTATATTTATGAGCCATACCTAACAAATCTCCACCTTGGCGAATATCCTGCCTCTTGGAAACTTCAATGTGGGTTGGGTTACCTTGATCCTTTAACAACTCGAAACATTCAACAAGTTCAAGCAATGCTTGAACTTGTCTGTCGTAACTGGCTTAGTGAACATATCAGCGGCATTCTCATCAGTATGTACCTTCTGAAACAAAACCTCTCCAGATGCAACCAACTCTCTGATCTTGTGGAACCTTACATCAATATGTTTAGTTCTAGCACGATACACCTGATTCTTAGCCAAGTGAATAGCACTTTGATTATCACAAAGCAACTGAACTCCACCTTGTTGAACACCCAACTCCTTCACTAAACCAGTAAGCCATAAAGCTTCTTTTGCAGCTTCAGCCGCTGCCATGTACTCAGCTTCAGTTGTAGATAGAGCCACAATAGATTGAACAGTAGACTTCTAACAAATAGGCCCTCCACCAAGAGTAAAGACATACCCTGTCGTAGATCTTCTATTATCCAAGTCACCTGCATAGTCTGAATCCACATATCCTACAACCAAAGGATTATCCCGCTGACTCCCAAAAACAATTCCATGTTCCACAGTACCCTTTAAGTACCAAAAGATCCACTTGACTGCTTCCCAATGTTGCTTACCAGGTTTAGACATGTACTTACAAACTTGACTAACAGCATGAGCTAAATCAGGACGAGTACATACCATCGCATACATCAAGCAGCCAATAGCATTAGAATACGGAACCTTTGCCATATCTTCAGCTTCCTTATCTGTCTTGGGGCACTGTTCTGATGAGAGCTTAAAGTGATTCGCCAATGGAGTGCTAACTGGTTTCGCGCTGCTCATCGCAAACCTTTCTAGCATTTTCTCAACATAACCCCGTTGAGATAGCCGCAGTTTCCTTGAGTCTCTGTCCCTGCAAATTTCCATTCCAAGAATTTTCTTTGCAGCACTTAAATCTTTCATATCAAATTCCTGACTCAATAAAGTTTTCAAACCGATAACATCATCCATGTTCTTCGCAGCAATCAACATATCATCAACATACAGTAATAGAAAAATAAAAGAACCATCATCAAGGCTCTTAACATAGACACAACAATCATACTCACATCGGTTGTAGCCAATCTTGATCATATAGGAGTCAAACCGTTTATACCACTGTCTCGGAGACTGTTTCAACCCGTACAAAGATTTCTTCAATCTGCAAACTAAATGCTCGTTTCCAGGTTGAGTGAAACCTTCAGGTTGCCGCATGTAGATCTGTTCCTCTAAATCACCATGCAAAAAAGCAGTTTTAACATCCATCTGCTCTAAATGCAAATCCCAACTAGCCACCAATGCAAGTACTGCTCGGATTGAAGTGTGCCTGACCACAGGAGAAAAGATTTCATCATAATCAACTCATTTCTGCTGTGAAAAACCCTTCGCTACCAAACGAGCCTTGAACTTCTCCCCCTCTTTTTCTGTTACTACTGGTTTCTTCTTATACACCCATTTGCAACCAATCGGCTTCTTACCCTCAGGAAGGGGAACTAACTCCTATGTGCGATTGTGATTCAAAGACTCCATCTCCTCAACCATGGCTGCCATCCACTTGTCGTTTTCCTGACTAGTAACGGCATCATGAAAAGTAACCGGATCATCACTGCTAACAATAAGTGCAAAAGATACCAAGTCTTCAAAACCCAATCTGTTCGGAGGCTTTATATTCATCCGTCTCACCCTGTCTCTGGCGAGACTATAATCCTGCAAATCATCCGTAGTGGAACCACCAGAAGTCGGTTGAGAAGTTTCTGGTTTCTCAACTGGAAACTGCTCGAGATCCACCACTGTCGTGTCTTGCTTCTGCTGCAACATGGATTGTTCATAAAAAACGACATCTCTACTAATCACAACTTTCTTCGCAACTGGATCCCAGAACTTGAATCCTTTGACACCTTTCTTGTAACCCAGAAAAATGCACTCCTTCGATTTTGCATCAAGTTTGGATCTCTCATCAGCAGATACATGCACATAAGCAGGACAACCAAAAATCCGTAAGTTATCAAAACTAACATCATGACCAGTCCATACCTCTTCTGCAACTTTCCCAGCCAGCGATGCCCTTGGCGATCTGTTGATAAGGTAACACGCCATGTTAACAGCCTTAGCCCAGAAGTGTTTGGGAAGCCCCGCATTCAACCGCAAACATCTGGCTCTTTCATTCAACGACCTGTTCATTCGTTCCGCAACACCATTCTGTTGTGGTGTCTTGCGCACTGTAAAATGCCTCTGAATCCCATGCTCCTTACAGAATTGTAGGAACTGTGAATCTGTGTACTCCGTACCATTGTCAGACCGCAAACACTTGATTTTTCGTCCTGTTTGGTTTTCTACCTCAGCTTTCCACAGCTTGAACTTCTCAAAAACTTCATATTTCTGTTTCAAAAAATACACCCAAACTTTCCGTGAAAAATCATTAATAAAAGTAACATAGTACCTAGATCCACCCAAAGACGATGTCGTGGAAGGCCCCCATACATCAGAATGCACATAATCAAGAATCCCTTGAGTTGTGTGCTTCGCAGTCTTGAAACGGACTTTAGTCTGTTTACCAAGAACACAATACTTGCAAAAGTCGAGCTTACAGCTTTTGACACCATGCAACAAGTTTCTCTTGTGTAATTCTGCCATACCACGTTCACTAAGATGAGCAAGGCGCATATGCCACAATTTTGTCGTATCATCACAGGACTCAACAGAGTGAACTCCACCTGCAACGGTACTCCCTAACAATCTGTAGATATTCCCTGCAGTCATCTTGCCTTTCATCACAGTCAATGCTCCTTTAACAATCCGAATGGTTTCCCTATCCTCGTCAGCCTTAGGGATAAAACCATTCTTGTGCAAAGTGCCCAAGGAAATCAAATTCTTCTTCAAGTCTGGGATATGTCGAACACCACTCAACGTCCGAACGGAGCCATCGTGCATCTTAATTCTGACATCACCAATACCAACAATATTGCAACATCGATCATCACCCAAATAAACCGAACCAGAATTAACCGGCCTGTATGTCGAAAACCATTCCCTATTTGGCGTGATGTGATAAGAACATCCAGAATCAAGAATCCAAGCATCCGTCAATTGTGTCGTTGAAATAGAAAGCATATCACCCTCACTGCAATCAGAATTATCATCCTCGACCACGTTCACAGACTTGGATGAGCCATCACGCTTCTCATCAGTCTGCTTTTTCAACTTCGGACAGTCTCGCTTCATATGTCCCGCCTCCTTGCACTTGTAACAGTGAATCGTCTTCTTATCCCTGGATTTGGATCTAGAATTCCGCTTCCCGGACCCTGCCTTCTCTGGCTTCCGTCCACGATCTCGATTACCCTTGACATATAAACTATCGGCTTGAGAGCTTTCCCCTGCATTCTGCTTCCGCTGGTTGTGAGCCAACAAGGCTGCAGTAATCTCCTCAACATTGATAGTCTCTTTCCCATATGTAAGAGTAGTCACCATGTGTTCGTAAGAGGGAGGCAACGAACACAACAGAATCATCGCTCTGTCTTCATCCTCAATTTTCACATCAAGCCGAGCCAGATCAGAAACGATTTGATTGAAGACATTCACGTGTTGCGCCAAATCGTGATCGTCCTGCATCTTCAGCCCATACAGCCGCTGCTTCAGATACAGTTTTGTCGTTAAGGATTTGGACATAAACTGACTTTCTAACTTCCTCCAAATTTCGTCTGGAGACGATAGATGCATGACGTGATACATGACCTCGTCCGCCAAGCATAATCGTATGGTTCCTACCGCTCGCTGCTGCAATTCTTCCCAATCTTCCTCATCCATCGACGCCGGCTTTGTAGGTCGCAAAGCCTTCAAGATCCCTTGCTGCGCCAATAGATCCTTCACCCTCGTTTGCCATAATCCGAAGTTACCCTGACCATCGAATTTCGCGACTTCGAATTTTGCTCCTGACATCTGATACCAATTGTTGACGAAAACGGGTAAAGAAAACAAAAGAACACGAGAATTTTACGAGGTTCGGCAATGTGCTTACGTCCTCGGTGCCTAGGCGGCGCTAGAAGTTTTTATTCAATGATATTTTAGGTCTAGGTTACATCTCTATTTATAATAGAAAACCCTGGTACATAATTACAAAATCAACCCTGTACCGTACCGCGGGGGCTACGCCCCCACACCCGCAACCCACATAATTCGTAACCCCACAACGAGACTTTCTTTGTAAGGACAGTTGATGTTCGCTGCGTTTGCTTCGCTCACTCCGCTCCATCTCCTGTCCTCTTTACTGGTATATTTATGAGCCATACCTAACAACTAATAACCATAACAACTAATAGCAAACAAATAACAGAGACAACTTTCAGGAAAACGGTTATAATGCCCAACAATCATTACTTTAACAGCTTCCCCATATGAAAATTGAAATCCTCAACAAACTCTAAAAAGAATTTTAATGTCATTAGTGTTCCCCAAGGTTAACACAAAAGCTTCTAGAATCGTACACCAGGCAAAGGAAGAACTAAAAATAGAACTGCTATTTTCTGAAGGTGGAGAACGGCAAAACTTGGAGAAGAGAGAAAGAGAGTAAGAGAGAAATCAGATGATTGCGGTGTGAAAAACAATGTGAGATTCACATCTTTTCATTACCAAAAAATAGGATAAAATATGAAACCATCCAGTTCAAAATAGGAATGCAGTAACTTAAACAAAACTAGTCTTAGCATATCATTCCTAACCACAGAAATTGTATTTAATAGAAAATTTTCAAGAAGAAACAGTAATCTATTGAAAAATGTGACTACTATAGCAATACCTGATACCATCCACTATAGCATCCCAGCAGAAATGTGTGTGGCCAAACACATGGCATGCAAAGGAACTACTTTCAACCCGCGTATAGACCTTATACGATCCTCAAGCCAATCAGAGCCAATGATTTTTGGGAGGTTTGGATAGAACAACATTCTTTTCTCCGGACACAGCTCTTGCCAGCATAAGAATATTACAAGAAACAGTTACACCTCACTCAATGTATTTGTTGAACCAACAATACAAAAGCCTATTGCTCACACAGTTTCCACCATTCTAATCAGCTTTGCAAACTTCAGTCATTTTTGTTATGCTGACATTTACATACTGCACTTGTGCGGCCATTCTTGCCTTCACATGTGAAATAAATCAAGAAGTTAAATAAGCGTGTAACTAACCTAGGAACAAAGTGAGAAAATGTAATTATTTGGCTACAAGTCCTCTGGATCTGCTTCACAGTAAGCTGGTTTTTTTCATTCATCGTATCGGGATAGTCTGTATGCAAGTCCGAGAGCACAAAAACCCGTAGGCCAAGACCATCTTTCTTTGCAGCAGACACTACCTGAGGCATTGTAATGCAATCCCTCTTTACGCGTCTTATATACTTTTTGAATGTTATCTTCTCACATAAAGTGTGAAGATAAGCTCAAGCACGAGGTCATGAGTGTTGTTCAGTCTCAAGGGCAATGAAACAGTGAAACAACCAAGTTGCTTCGATTTACCAATGATCCAGCTGATGATCAACAAGCAGGTAACCACAAAGCATTAGCTTACAAAGGTCGAGCATCTATCCATTAATCAAATACAAACTCCACCAACTAAATTAACTAACTCGTTATTGGCTAAAACCAAAACATGCCTATGAGAGTTCCAAAAGAATTACTAATATATTTCTGAATAACTGTATTTTTTTCTGAATACATCAAACCAGAGACAAAACACGCGTACTAGAATTGATATTTTATAAAATTAAACCTTGCAATTGTTCGGTTATTACTTCACATTTCAATACTTCCTAACGGGGCGAAACATGGACACGAAACGCAGCTCAGCTCAGCTCAACCCAACTGCGGAAGCAGTTGACCATTGCAAACATTTCAAAAGAAGTAAACTGGAGCTCATACATGGAATTTATTTCCAACGGAAGCTAAATGAAAAAGTCCTCTTCAGAAAATCGTTATTTTGGAACTACTCTTTTAAAGAATTTATTCATAAATCTGGAGGATTTTACACATTTTCTTCGAATTGGCGGTACAAAATCTGAGACTAAACCCCGCATATAATCCGAGGGAATGTTTGCAGGCAGAATCATAATGGGCATTGAATTGAAAAGAAAATTTGCTTACCTGCTCGTCTCTGATCCAAACCAAAAAAATGGAGGAACTTGGAGGATGACTAGAGTATTGTGGAGCGGTTCTCTCACATGAACCGTCCGATCTGGTGTTTCCGTTATTCATCGTTGGATCCAAATATTATGTTTGTGGAATTGAATGAGCAGGAGACAAATAGGTACGATCCGGTTATTTTTTTTAATTAATCATTTTATTTTCGATTTCTGATATTATTTTTAAATTGTATTCTAAAAATATGATTTTGTGATATGTTTAATGAGTATTAAATTTAAATTTCCTTGGGTAAAAAAACATGGCCCTGCTTAGTAATTGAAGAAAGATCCACCCTCCCATTCGTAATGAGAAAGTAGCCAAGGCTTGTTGTATACATGGGCTACGAGGATAAGGTTATTATCACCGTCACACTAATTATGGGAATTAATGAAAAATTAAATTAAGAAAATGAAATAAAACCGGCCTTTGTTTCCCTATAAAGTTATGCTCATTCCCTCGGATCACATACTGCAAAATCCTTTTGCTTTGTTGGAATTGAAAAGCTGGCATGTACATGGGTGATTCTTCATGTTTGAGTTTGGCAGTGGGGCTAATGGTCTTATGCGTTCGGCTGGTCTCGGCTGCCGGTGGCCGCTCTATGATGAGAGGGGAGACTCTGTTGGCTAATGGACTTGGTCGGACACCGCCTATGGGGTAAGCTCTTATTCTATAATTACTATTGTATCTTCTCAAACTATTATGTGAATGGTTGGTGATCAGATGGAGCAGTTGGAATCATTTTGGCTGTAATATCCAAGAGAAACTAATCAAGGAAACAGGTATACTTGATATGGTTATTATTTTACGTATTAATAAATTTATAATTATTGATATTTTATTATGTTTTTCTTATTTATATAGCGGATGCAATGGTGTCAAGGGGTCTGGCCAAACTTGGATACAAATACATCAATTTGGGTACAAACAAATGTTGAGTTTCTCTTTAATTCTCAATTCAATTTCAATGCAAAATCTTCATCGCCTTCTCTTTCATGTTCTCCTGCATATCCTTCAGATGATTGTTGGGGCGCGTCTAGTCGAGACACCCATGTACTCCTCAACCTCTCTGCATAATTTTACTTTAATGTCTAAATTAATTTATAAAAAGATTAATATGTGATAATATTATTTTTGGATGTCCATAATTTGGACAGGGAAGGTTAGTTCCCAACGCCACTAAATTCCCATCAGGTATGAAGGCATTAGGTCATTATCTCCACAGCAAAGGATTAAAGTTCGGCCTTTACGCTGATGCAGGGTGTGCAATTTTACTATTATTTATTTATTTCAATTTCATATACACATATATATAATTCTTAAATATGTGTTTGATTTATGAAGAACTAGAACATGTACCGGAACCATGCCTGGATCATTAGATCATGAGGGGAAAGACGCACAAACTTTTGCTTCCTGGGTAATTCTCTATTTTTTTTCTATTAAAAATTTATTTTCGTCTCCTAAATTTTATGATTTCAAGTTTATTTTCCCGAAATTTTATTAGTTTAAATGCATCCATAACATAAAATCTTACGTCTTTCCTGTGTATAGGGCGTCGACTACTTAAAGTATGACAACTGTGATAATAATGGTATAAACCCAGAAGATAGGTAGGTAATCTGAGTTTTTCTTCTTCTCCCGTTTGTTGCCTTAAATATATGTAATTAATTTCATATTGGCTTTGGTGGTCCTAGATACAAGAAAATGAGCGAAGCACTTTTGAGGACAGGGAGGCTCATCTTTTTCTCCATATGTGAATGGTAATATATTAGATTTATTTATATCTAATTTTATACGTATTCTAAACGAATCGAATAATAATTTTTCGGGATAAATTATATAAATAGTCTCATTTGTTTTCGGTTTGACTGACTTTGATTGTAAATTTAAAATTTCAATATGGTCTCTAAAGTTATCGATCCATTCGATTTTAATCGCTAAAATTATCGATCTGTTCAATTTTAATCCCTCAACCTTCAACTAATATTAACCTTTTAATGAAAATATTACGTAACAATTAAAATAATAATAAATAAATCCACATAAATTACCATCTATAAGTGACTGGGATAAAAAATATTTAAAAAATCCTATCAAAAAACCCACGTGTCTTGTTCCGCTTCTTCTTCTTCTTATTCAATCAAAATATGCTGCTATTTGAATGACTTATTCTTCTTTTTCAACTAAAGTCTGCTATCTAAACCACTTCATGTCCTAAACAAGAACATAGCCAACCAGTAACAGGCTTGAAGAACCAATCGTACGCATCCCACATCAGATCAACTAACAAAGGGATTGAAATCGGATCGAAAATGTTAGGGATTATTTATTTTTAATTTTTAAATTAATGATTAAAATCAATCATATAAAAATAGGACTATTCGCATAGTTTATCCATTTATTTATTATTTTTATAGTGACTTGTCTCATTGGAAAATGTCAGGGGAAAAGAAATGGTGGCTACTTGGGGCAATGATATGGCAAATAGTTGGAGAACATCCGGAGACATTCGTGATAGCTGGGATAGGTAATTTAACAATAAAAATAGAATTATTATAATTTTTAATTGCAGTTTTAATTAATATTTTATTGTTATTCCAAGCAGCATGGTGTTACGTGCTGATCGAAATGATGAATGGGCATCTTATGCTGGACCGGGAGGTTGGAATGGTAATTAATAAAACTGTGAATTTGTCTTGAATATATACTTATTACCTTATGTTATTCGGTTTCGGTTTTTATTTTTAAAAATCCATAAAACATGGTTTAATTTATATTTTAATGAAAAATCGAATCGAATATACCCTTGGTATTAATAGTGTATAAATTTGAAATTATCAGATCCGGATATGTTGGAAGTTGGGAACGGAGGGATGACATTAGAGGAGTATCGTTCGCATTTTAGCATATGGGCACTGGCTAAGGTACGCACCGAACACCTTAATTAAATTACATTTTATTATAATGACTTAAATACTATGCTTATGTTGATAGGCTCCTTTAATAATTGGGTGTAGCATACCAAAGATGACCAATGATACTTATGAAATACTAAGCAATGAAGAAGTCATTGCAGTAAATCAAGGTGCTACCCTATGTTATTTGCAGATTAAATTAAAGCTATATTTAATTAGTACGCTAATAATGATAAGATGTGAATAGACCTCCTAGGTGTTCAAGGCAAAAAAGTGAAGAAAGATGGACATTTAGAGGTTTGTTGCCTGCACCCTCTTTTTTTATTTTGGACTTTTGAGATCCATGTAATACTTAAAAGGGTAAATTACACCGATCATCATTGAACTTTACTCTTTATCATATTTTATTCACTGTATTTTAAATTCGTTTATTTCCTCACTGAAATTTAACACAATTAACTGGTCATTAGGTCGTTTTATCACTAAAAGATGTTATAAACGAACTGTTATATAAATGTAAAATGACGTAGTTTCGGTGAAAATTTTGTTTTTCTAAATCGGCGTCGTTTTAACGCCGTTAATTATTTAACGGCCGAGTGAACGAAAATACTAATCGTATTAAATTTAGTGAGAAAATTGAACATATTTAAAGTACAATGAATGAAATAGGAAAAAGAGTACAGTTCTATGATGATTGGTGTAATTGACCCTTCTTAAAAAGATAAAAAAATAAAAGGTTTATTTGAAATTTTTTGTTTCATTCAATTTGTGTATTTTAGGTTTGGGCTGGTCCTCTACATGACAATAAGGTAGCTGTGGTTCTATGGAACAGAGGTTCCAAAAAAGCAACGGTAACCGCTTGCTGGTCCGACGTCGGCCTCGATCCAACAGTTGCCGTGAAGGCACGGGATCTATGGACGGTGAGTGATCTATTTCAGTGGTTTGGATTTATCATAACATATGGACTTATTTAAACAAATTGATAAAGCTTAGGGATTTACTAGTATTTTACCCTATAATTTATAAAATCATGCAACTAAACCAATGCTTGTTTTGCAAAAAGCATTCGAGTCGATACGCACTGAGACACCAATTATCAGCTCATTTGGATCCGCATGCCTCCAAGATGTATATCCTTTCGCCCCTTTGAAGAACTTGAGATGATGCGACTCATACACATAAGGATTATATCTATTTGAGTTGATTTATGCCTAAAAGACGTTTATTTGGACCGTCATCAATGTTAAATGTATACATTGTAAATGTGTATGGAATTATCATAAAAACGAATGAGATTAAATTCAATAAATTATAAAAGGTCAATAAGAGAAGCCCAATTTGAAGAAATAGGAAGACATATCATAAAATTATTATTGAAAGAGTCCATGGACAGAAGTCAATACCCGAACCATACTATTGAGGTGCAGAAAGGACAATGAAAGACAAATAGTAATATATGGTGCGTTCTTGACTTCTCTTTTAATGCTACCAGCCACTCTTCTTCCAAGGTAAATTGCAAAAAGAAAGAAAACCCAAAACGCCTCCAAAGTAAATAAAAACATTAGTTGGTGGTGGAGATGGATTGACAGAGCAAAGAAAGGGACAGCAGCAGCAAGCAGTAAAGAGCGGGGGCAGTGGCAGAGCGCAGGGGGCCATTCAAAGTCCCCAACTAACCTCAAACACTCCACATTCAATACCACACACGTTCAAACTTTATCTCATCTTTCGAATTTAAGGATACGAGTACTCAGGAACTCGGACAATTCAAAGCACCCTTGATTTGCTGGACCGTGGTGCCAATAAGGTTATTAACAGTTGTCACCGAGTCCATGTTCAGTTTCGCAGATGGCAAGCTGCTCACTAGGATCTGAAACGCTACTGTGATTAGTGAACCCCCGGATCGTGCCATGCTCCCATGTGCGCTGGAGCTCGTTGATGCTCCTTCCCTGCCTTGGTCCGGTTGGCCGTCCGGTGAGATTGTGAAACCGGATGGGAGTAATGGTATGTATGAAGGGTCTTCTCCACTCATTGCTACATTAATGGCTGGCAAATCTACCGGGCAGTAAACTACGAGTGAACCTGAACTGTCTATGCAGCTCTCTTGAAGTATTAGCATGTTGCTGTGACTTGTATTAAATGCCTACTCAGAGAACAATAATTTCTTATTAAACCAAAGTTTTGAAGTGAAGATCACAAACGAAAATGCTTTGGTTTCGGGTATCTTACTTGTAAAAAGGATATGCAATTGCCTGGATGCGACCCGTTTGCAATATGAGCAACCTCCTGCACTGCATTCCCATTGGATAGAACGTCCCACTAAAGGAAGTCACAGATTATTATCAAGTTCAATATATATATATATATATATACAAGGCAGAATAATATACGTCTACTTGACATTTACAAATCTGAATATACCTGCGGTCGAGTTCTTTCGTCCTTGAAGAAATTGAATACATTTTGTGGACTAACAGGAAGCCAAAAGGTGGTAGCTGCACTAAGAACTATACCATTAGAACTCTTATGAACAGTTACCTGGACACCAACTTCATTCAAACCAGAAAGCGTTGTCCACCGATGACTATTTGATGTGCTGATGCTTGTGCAGAAATTGGTGACCATCCTTTGAGCAAGCTTCATCATGCTTCTCTTACCATCGGGAGAAGGAATTACTGCAACATTTGGAAATTTTATTTAAGAGCTCAAGAAAAGTAATTGCTGAGTCTGTAGATGAATTACTAAATATTTACCTCCCCCAAGATCCCGGGTTGAAGTATTTGATACCATTAGGCAAGCAAACCTCTCGCACATCCTCTGAAGAGTCGCAAGCCACCGTTCTGCACCAAATGCCAAACCACTATGCACAAGATCCCTATAGAGTCTATGAATTGGAGTCTTGTCTTCAATCTCCACATGCTCCAACCATGTAACCTATAAACATTTAGATGTACATTTCAGATCAATGTAGAGCAAAACCGAGCATGCAAAACATGAGGAGAACAAAATTTGAGCAACCTTGGAATAACCATTAGGCATGTCCTGAATCAAGCATCCAGAAGGAAGCCTATGAGATCGACATTGAGAGGCAAATTGCGCCAAATCATACGAAACATTTACTATAGCCCATAACCCTTGCTCAATTTGTTGACAGTATCGAAGGATATAAAATTCACGTGTAGGTAATAGTGGGGAGAGCACCTGCAACTCTTCATACATCTGCAAAACGAGACGAGAATTAGTATAGGAAAGAAGTGAAAAGAAAAAAAATGATATGAACAAACAAAAGGCAAAGCACAATTACCAATTGCAAAGAACCATTGTGTGTACCCATCATCCCAGATGGAATTACTTCAATGGTCTTGGCAATCGACACGATGGTAGGGAATAGCTCCACCCATTTGTTCTGCAAAAGGAGTGGTAGTTTCTCAATTAAAATTTTGAATTCCGATCAATTCCAAAAAGAAGGATTCAATGTAAGGGAAGAATTTGTGAACTTACTGAATCCATGAACATGTCAACCAAAGCCAAACCATTCATGATGACAAAACCAGAGTCTCTTGAAGCTTCAATCCTAACATTGGGAGATTTGAAGTGGGCATTAGGCCTAGGGAAAATTCTTTCATAGGTCTCCAGATTAAGAACATCCCTGCCATCATTAGTGGACTTGATCCATAAAGGTTCATTGCTCTGCAAGAGCCTGAGCATTTCTTCCATTGCATTCGCAGCAATATCGGACATGAGGGACTTGTCCATGTCCGAGATAGCAACAGGCTGGAAAGGTAAATTCGGCATTGATAACGAGCTTCCTGGGAGAAGATCAAGATCGAGAGAAGGACCAGAAACACCATAGCCATCGAAACCCCCCATCCTGAAATCCAATGAAGAGCAATGAAGGGGCTGTACAGGTGGGAGTTGAGATATTGGCCTCCCTATGTACTTGGCTGCAATGCTAGATACTCTATCAAGCTGAAAAAGTGAAACAAAACAAAACATAAACATACTAAAAAATCATCATCATCGTCATTATTATTATTATTATTGGAGAACAAAGGAAAAACCTCCTCCTTTAATTGGGCGTTTTCCATCCTCAATTTGTGGTCATCAAAATAGGAATCCTCGCTGACAGGAGGGCCGCCGCAAGAAGGACAGATGATATTTTTAAGCGCTTCTCGGATGGCTATGTTCTCGCATCGGATCTTATCGTTCTCGGTACGAAGAGAACTGTTATCGGCTCTTTCGTGTTGTGCCTGAGGAAACACAAGTGAGGGAATGAATGAAGGAGAAGAAAGAGAAAAAGGAATAAAAGAGCAAAAGTCGCTGCTGAACCCACCTTCATCTGGGTCCTTCTGTTTTGAAACCAAAACTTGATCTGCCTTGGTGCCAGTCCCAGCTCCCTACTCAGCTGCAGCCTTTGCTTCTCATCTGGGTGAGGGCACTCCTTGAACATTCTTCACGTTTTCACCAACAAAACCAAAAAAAAAAAACAATTCTTTATTGAAACAAAAACAAACAAAACAAGACAGGCAAGCTAGCAAAGGAAGAAAGGCCAGCCGACAGTGTTTTCTTACGATTCAAGCAGCTGAATCTGGTGAGCAGTGTGGCGGTGGTAAGGCTTTCTCAGCCTTGAAGGGTCGGAGGAGTCGTGGTCCCCACCGGACCCACTCCCTCCTCCTCCGTTTCCGTAATCCATATATGTACTGCACCGTCTCCCTTCCAAAAACACCTTAAAATGAATCGCAAAAAGAACAAAAAAAAACACTCTTTTATTCCATACGATCTCCCATTCTGATTTCAGCACCGCCCATCATCACTAAAAGGAGAGAATCGTTTGTAGCTAATATAGTGAGACATGAAAAGCAAGGACAAAGAAAAGAGTTTTTGTATGGGGAAAAAGGTATTTGATCAAGTTTTGGGAGGGCCCAAAACGGGTGAAATAAGAAAGACAATGGGCATGATTTGGGGTGAGAGTGAGTTTAGGCAGAAAATGGGTTTCGGTATGTTTTAGCGGTGTAAATGTAGGAGGAAAGAGTCAAAGAGAAGAAGCAACGCAGGGAAGGCCTCCTTTCCTTTCCCTCTTGCCTTGCCTGCTCTCTCCACTCACTAAAACAAACTCGGTATCTGCTGCTCAGTCAAACTCAGAACCCAAAACCCCAATGACTCAGGCTACTTGTAGTGAGTGAGTTCTATTTGCTGCTGCTTCGCTGAAGTTCTAATCTTCATGCATTATCTCTCTTCCTCCTCCTCCTCTGTCTTGGTCTTCAACATTATGTCAAAATGTGTGTAAGTGAAGGGTTTTAAAAGACCATTTGCATTTGCCTCATTCGGACAACGTTCATCACATATCATACATGGGCCGTTTCGAGCAAAATGCTCTCTCTTCTATCTCTTACACCAATGCTTTTTTAATATGGATAATTTTTTTTTACAAAATGGTAAATTATGATCATCACCATCAACAGACTTAGTACATTCTAATGTCCAAGCCAGGACACCATAAATGAGCTTTTCCATTACCAATTACGACTAACCAACAATTTATAAACATATGCATTGCATACTTCCTTAATGGAATCGCCCCTCTCTCTCTCTCTCTCTCTCATTACCCATTCCCCTTTGCCTTTTTAAATTTCAAAATTCACTCCTAAAACAAATTTGTATGCGTTCAATTCTTCATCGCATATATAATAGGGTTGATTGTGTTGGACATCCCCAATGTCTTATTTAATTTTAATTTGATTCCTTTCTAGAAAAAGGTAAAAAGGCATCAAAAGTCATTGTGTTTAAAAAAAATCAATTTGACCATCGTATTATTTTCTCTCTCAATGGTGGCATTTTTTTTAAATAATCAGAATATTTCATTCATCGAAAATCGTATCAATAAACGTCTTGTCAATTACAGGCTGAACAAATACAATTAAGACTATTAAAAATAAAATATAACAACGATAGCTTAGTGATAGCCTGATAAACAAAACCATTAGCAAGTGGAGCAACGATATGCATAAACTGAACACACCAACGGGCTTCAAACATCAAAACATGGAGAAGAGAAACTCGAAGAAGAACCAAAATGGCCAACGAAAAAAGCGATCTCCCCTTAACAGCAATCCTATCCGACACATATATGTGATAACCAACGAACCGTCTTGTACAAACGAACAGAGGAATCGTGCATCGGGAAAGCAACAAATCATGTATTCAGTGAAAAACAAAAGACCGAGAAGAAGACCAATAAAAAACCTGTACCGAGAGTTTAAATCACTGGTAGTCATGATACTTTCTACTAGAAAAAGAATAAAGGAAAATTATTATTAAAAATACGATAAAAATAACTAAAAATGACAGGGTGGTGACCGGAGAATACCACCACCGCTGCCATGAAACAAAGAAATTTTAAACACTGCCTAGTAAACTATGCAACTTCCACAGTTTACATATTAGTTAAATAAGATATTAATCACTTTTAATATTTTTGTTTAAATATTTAACATTTTTACTTTGTGAATAGTTTTGAATCAAATTTTAGACATACAATAGGCACGCCACACATCAATTCGAACAAATATTTAACATCTAAACAAATAAAAAGAGTTGATTAATATAATATTAATGTTTTAAATTTTAATTTAAAATTAAATTTGAATAGAAGTTTGGGAACGATGAATGCAATTAACCCTTATATATATATAGCATGCCAAGGTGGCAACATAAGTTCTGCAAACAAAAGTCTATAAATTGAATCATTAGGAGCCTATATTGACAAAACTAACATTTTTGCTTTCTTTTTCTTTTTCCAAACTCTTTTCACTTGCTGCTGTTGCCACTCCACACAACATCATTTCCCCCAAATTCTTTTTCTTTTCTAATTCTTTTACTCCTCAATAAAACCCAAATTTTGTTCCTCTTTTCTCATTCCTCTTTCCCTAAACTGAATACTTAAAGTGATCAAATCACAAAATGTTTAGGTAAAATTCATTTCAATTTATTAAATTATGTTTAAATGATAGCTTTTGTTATTAATTTATAAAATTTATAAAACGCTAGTTAAATTTATTAAATTTTTACATTTGTCGTCACATTCATTATTTTATAACTATACAATATATATAAATTTTAGGATAAAGTACACAAATGATCCATAATTATAGGATATTATTTATTGAGTCCCTTGACTATTAAAAGTTATAAAATGATCCCTTGACTATAAGGGTTGCTTTGTTAAGTCCCTCTACTATTAAAAGTTACAAAATGGTCACTTGACTATTCATTATGTTCAAAACTCGTCCTTTTATGTTAAAAATTTAACGGTCATATGAGTTTAATGTTAACATGCTAATTGGGATATGATAGTTTTTTGAGATAATGAGATAATATTTTATCATATCTCAGTCGGTAGGTTAATATACAACTCAGACTACCATCAAAAATTTTAATAAAAAAGGACGAGTTTGGAACATAATGAATAATCAAACGAACATTTTATAATTTTTAATAGTCAATGGAATCAATAAAATAATATTCTATAGTTAGGAGACCATTTATGTACTTTACCATAAATTTTAAAGGTTATATAACTAAAATAATCATTTAATATATTTTAATGTATTATACTTTTTAAACATATTTTAATTGAATCATTGTTAATTAGGGATGAACATGGATCAGGTTGGATCACATTTTTATTTAACTTGAATTCGACCCCAACAATATATCTTTCGCCCAAGCGACCTGATTATATGTAGCCTAAATCTAATCCCTTTTTTTCACACACACACACATATATTTCACCTAAGCGACCTGATTAGATGTAGCTTAAATCTAATCCGTTTTTTCAGATAAAAATCTAATCTGACACACACATATATATCTTTTTTATTAGTTAAAATAATAATTGATTAAAAACGATAGATATATATTATAATAAATAATTGTAAATATATAAAATTATATTATATTATTAATTATTGATCATGTAACACCCCAAAAATTTAATTAAAATAAAGTTGACGACTAAATTATAAATTTTCAAAAGTTTGCAGCTCAATTTTGGAACTTGTGGGAAGTTTAGGGACTTAATCCTGAATTATCCCATTTTTTGGTCAGTTGAAAAATAAAAACTAGGAATTTTGTGGTTGAGATGGCTTGAGCTCGTGACCTTAGGGTTATAGGTGCCTATGCCCTAGCCATCAGGCTAAGCTCCTATTAATGATTTATTGCAGAAAATATCTGATATATTTCAAATATATCACCCATCACCATTACCTTCGATCCACCTCCGTCCGATTGTCGTGGCTGTCACCACCACCTTCTTCGTGTTCACCAGTGACCTGCGAACGAAACTTAAATGCCACCTCGTTGAGAAACGTCGTTGTTTACAGTGGAGAACGATTCAAAGTCGTGTCAAAAACTAAACTTTCACCGCTGAAAATCGTCGATTCCGGCCACCTCCGTGGCCTAAGCACAACACCTCCTGCATTATTGAACTCAGCATGCAATTTCGGTCAAGATCTAATTGGTGGATCACTCCATCATCGTTGTTTTATCCGTTCGATGAAGGGTAATCATTTTCGATCCATGCTCTTTCATTTTAATTGAGTTTGGCTTGATTGTGGTTTGATTTTTGAGTTGATTTAGGATTGTTTTGGTGTGAGAATGCTTCGGGAGTAATCTTTCATTTCCCCCCGGCCTTGTCATTGTTGAACGCACCACCACGTAAGTACGGGGCTCCTCCGTCGGTCTTGGAGGTTTTTGGAACCGATCCAATCAGACCAAACTGGTCCAATCAAACCGATTTGAACCAAGTCAACTCGCCTGAGTGAACCCATATTGAGTCAACTCGTTTGAGTCACCTCGTCCGAGTCAACCTGTTAACTTTGACCGTTGAATTTGACCAAAAAATCAACATTTTTGAAAATTCATATTTTATATTTTTCAACGTCCCGAGTCTAAATTCGAAGTTTATTTCACCAAATTCAATCCCGATCAACTGTTTTTGTTTTTTGCATTTTATCTCCCGATTCAATATGAATTTTCACGTTTAAGTTTCATTTCTAATGTAATTGGTTTTGCCATGTATCCGAGACATTATGAGACGTGGAATTAAAGTTCGAGGGTGATCAAATGGAGTTTAATTGGTTAATTGTTACGGCTCGAGAATCAAGGTAATACATTACTATCTTATGTATGATTTATGAAACATGTTGGTATTGGTTAATGAATAGATGAATATGGTTGGATACATGTGTGTGATTAATATATTTCTAAACTTGATCCAAATACGATGAAAAGTAATTAAACTGAGTAAGACTCAGATTACACGTATAAGACACTAGAAGACTAATAATAAATAATTTCAGGTTCAATGATTAACCGATAAAACGATCAACCTCAGAATCATTAAATTCTAATTATTTTCGTTAAAAAAAGTTAATATCGAAATCTCCTGTTAAGAAATTATGAAATTACCTGTATAAGGTAAAATAGTACGTACTAACACTGATACTGAAAGTACTCTGAGAATTCGTATTTAATCCGACAAACTACAGATTCACCTGTTAAATTCTTGATCTATTCGAAAAGTCACTATTAATCAGATCCTAACATCTGAGTAGGTTCAAGACTTATAATTATTGATTTATCAGCAAACAACTAAAGACTAAAACATCGGAAGTATTATTTATGTTTGAAATGTTCAGAAAATTAAATTAAATAGAAAGACTAGATTGAAAGAAATGACAAAAATACCCCTGAAATATAAAATGACTATATTATATGACCAAGTTAAACTGAATAAAAGTAATGTACGTATCTGAATCGTTGAAATGACCGAATTACTCAAGAAACTCTAAAATGACCAGGATAAACTTGAATACTAAATGACCTAAGTACCCTATATGACCTGGAATTTAATGGATGACTTGGATAAGTTTAGAAACACTAACGAACTTATATGTTGTACCGTGCATAAGGGTTAAGAACCTCGAATCAAGCACGTCAACATTTCTTGATATCGTTGCAAAACAAAAATGAAATAAAGAACATTGGACTAC